GCCGGAGACCAGGCTGGTATTGAGTTGTCGGCTGCAGGAGTGTGGGGAGGGAACAGGCGCACCGCGCAGCGGCGCACCGCGCAGCACCGCACCGCTGGGCTGCTCACAGCCTTGGTGGGCAGTTGGGGGGGGGGCGTGGGTGAGAGTGACTGGGGCACCTGTGGGGCACTGCGCACATGGGGGACTGGGAAGGGACACCTGGATACCTTTTTATTTGCTTGCTTTCTTTAAAAAAAAAAATGGTTTATGAGGCAGGGTCTCATGTAGCCCAGGCAGGCCTCCAATTCCCTAAGTAGCCAAGGATAGACCTTGAACTGATTTGTCTGTGTCTTCCTCTCCAAGACTGAGAGGAGACAGGACAGGCAGGCGCCACCTGTTTTATTTAATGCTGGGAATGGAACCAGGGCTTCGTGCAGGCTGGGCAGGCAGGCACTCTTCCCACCGAGCCCCAGCCCCGGGACTTTTTTTTTTTTTTTTTTTTTCAGTGATGGAGCCAAAGCTTTGCAGGCAGCGACAGAAAGGGCTTCCTGGGGCAGGGGCCGATGAGGCTGGGCTTTAAGGGTTGCATAGGAGCTGTCCAGTCTGTTCCTGCGGCTTCTAAGGGAAGATCCCAGAAAGCTGACGAGTGTGAGACCTCGCTAATAACGGGTCCTCATGGCAACATGAGAAATGAGACCCGGACGTCACCTCTTCTCAGACACAGCCCCCTGTGAAGCTGGGGGGCCTCTTCTCTTCCCCAATTCATTAAATATTTTTCTGCCACTGCCTAGCAATGGAAAAAAGGGAGTCCAGCCTGGGAACCCCAGAACAGCCATGCGTCGGACCTGGACCTTGGGTGATCTATGCACCCTAGTGTCTCTAGAAAAACAAGAAACCCAGGCACCCTCCGCGCAATTCCAGGGTTCTAAGCAGATTCCACCCCAAACTCGAGGGTATTCCTTCAGGACACAACCCGATAGATGGGGGCGGCTTCCCTCTGCTGGACACAATGGGAACTGCAAGACGATGGGAGAAGTGGATGGGCACAGGAATGAATGAATGAATGTCAGGTTTAAAGCCAGGGCGTGGAAGCACTTGGTCGTATTCTCTGTTCTGTAGACACAGCAACAGGAGATCCTGGGCCGGTCTAGCCTAACCCACAAGCTCCAGGTGTCCAAGTGAGAGAGCCTGTCTCAAAAACCAAGGTGAGGGGCTGGAGAGAAGGCTCCCTGGCTAAGAGCACTCCTGGTGGCGGAGGCGGCAGTGAGTTCAGCTCCCTGCACCGAATGGTGGCTCCCAACCCAGCTCCAGGAGTCCCGATGCCGCCCCACAGGCGCCTGCACTCTCTGCGCATGCCCCAGCGCAGACACACATCTACACACTTTTTTTCCCCCTGAACATCACAGAGATCCGCCTGCCTCTGCCTCCCAAGTGCTGGGATTAAAAGTGTGCGCTGCCACCACTTCCCGGCCACAAAGTTAAAAATAATAAAAATAAATCTTGCCTGGTGAAACCCTGTTTTGGTGAAGGAAAAAAGCAAGTGTGGACAGAAGGGCGCTCAAGGGGGCTTGTATAGGGACAGAGCGACAGGAAGACTCAGTAGGTGGCAGGCACTGAACACTGTGTCTCGGTTGGTTCTGCTACTGAAAAGAGAGACCTGCACACTCACCCCAGCCCTGCAGCAGCCTCAGCACCCTCTGGTGGTGCTCTCTGTCCACACACAGAAGGTTGATCGGCCCTGGCTGCAGCCCCGGGTGCTGAGCCCGGAGGAGTGGGGATCATGCTGGGGATGACGGGTTTTGAGGACACCGTGGCATGTGGTGCAGATTGAGAAGAAAGGAGAGTAAGCTGGGATGGGCAGCAGGAGTGAGGGTTGTGGAATGCGGGTGATAGGCAGCAGAACACTGGTGGAAAATAGGGGAGACCATGGGAAAGGGAGGGCAGGATTGAAGGAGACTGACAGTAGAGGGGGGAGGGGAGGGCGGGAGGGTGTGTGGATGAATGAGTGGATGGGTGGATGGATGGGTGGGTGGGTGGATGAATGAGTGGATGGGTGGATGGATGGGTGGGTGGGTGGGTGAATGGGTGGATG